CTGCAAGGGAAACTGCCAATAGAGTTAAAATACAACCAACAGTGTGGGAAAAATTTTTACTAGCTGTTCCTCAAAGGACTACTATCTAGAATATATAAAGAACTTTTAAAAATCAGACCCCCCAAATTTAAATACCCAATTCAAAAATGGGCATCTGAAATGAGCAGACATTTCTCAGACAAAGAAGTAAAAGCTGCAAATAAACATGAAAAAAATGTTCAACATCACTGGTCATTTGAGAGATGTAGATGAAAACAACACTGAGATTCCACCTCACCCCAGAAAGAATGGCTGCTATCGAGAAATCAACCAACGACAAATGCTGGCAGGCTTTTGGGGAAAAAGGAACCTTTCTCCATTGTTGGTGGGTGTGTTGATGCAAGCACTATGGCAATCAATATTTAGATACCACAAAAAAATAGGATTAGAGGTTCCATTTGACCCAGTTATTTCCGTGCTGTGTGTCTTCCCAAAAGAATTAAAAGAATCATACCACAGTGATATATGCACACTCATAACTATTAGTGGCACAGTTTGTAATAGTTAAAACTGGGCAACAGCCCATTTGCCCATCAAGTGGAGACTCGATAAAGAAGATGTGGGTTTTTTTTAATAAAATGGAGTACTATTCTTTGATAAAGAATGAGAAACTAGAGTCATTTATAGCTAAATGTATGCACATTGAGGCCTTACTCTTAAGTAAAATAAATAGAACACACATGTGTAAATACCAAATAGCTTCTCTGTTGTGAGAAGCTAAAAATGTAAATAAGAATCAAAGTGCATAATAGATATTGTGAAACAGGAAGAAAAGGTCTAAAGGGGAAGAGGAAGTGGGAGGAGTAGGGGAAAGGAAAGAAGGGAAAGGAAAAAATATGGGAAAGAAAAAAATGGAAGAAATGTCTTTTTTAGTAGGGAGGGGTAGAAGGGTTGAAGGGAGGGCAGGGAAATGGCAAAAAAATAAGAACAAAGATATATCATGTAAAGGTATAAGCTTCCAATGATGAATGTCATCATATTGTACGTCTAAAATATACCAATAAACTTAATGAAAAAACCCAATATCACCCTTTTTCCAATGATCCATGAAGTCTTTTAGTATACTATTACTGAAAGATCAACTAGGATATTGTGGGTGGGAGAAGACAAAAGGAAGAGAAAAGGGATGAGGGTGGATCAGAAAGAAGAGAGAGAAAATGGACAACAAATGAAAGGGAGCTCAAACAGTGTTGAAAATGTTTAAATTATGTTTATAGGTATGTTTTAGGTATAATGTTGATATTTTTTAATAACTAGACTGGAGGACTATTGAAGCAGAGTTTTGAGGGAATATTTGCGGGAGTGGGAGAAGAAACACACAGAGAGGGAAGGGTAATTGGAGATTAGAAGTAGCTATAGGAAGGTTGGAATCTATTAATATACTGATAGTTTGCTTCTTTTTGAATGTGAACTAATACAACAATTTGGGGAATCAGTATGGATATTTCTCAAAAAACAAGTAAAAATAGAATTCCATTTGACACAGCTATACTTCTCCTGGCTATCTTCCCAGAAGTTAACATCATCTTACTAGAGTAATACATGCATACTTATAGTTACAGCAGCACAATTAACAATAGGGATATTGTGGAAATGGCCTATATGCTCATCAACAGATGAATGAATAAAAAATGTAATATATATGCACAATGGAGTAATAGTCATAAAGAAGAATAAATTTGAGTAATTTTTAGAAAAATGGATGGATTTTCAGACCATAATACTAAGTGAAATAAATCAGTCATGAAAGGTTAAATATTGCAGGGCTTTCATAACATGAGAGACTCAAAATGTAAACAATTTAAAGAGTGAAAGAAAGAACCATGTTAAGAAACAGGAAGGTAGACTCTGTAGAGATGGAAAAGGGATCTGGAGAAGAAGAGAGAGGAGAAGGTGGGAGGACTTGGGGAGTAAAAATTATCAAGATACAATATGTATCTTGCAAACCCCAAGCTGAATGTAATCACTATGTATCCCAAAAAGGACTAATGAAAAATAAATAAATCAAAAATAAATAAATAAAAATATAAAACTAAAACTGTAGAATAGCAATATAATTTTCTTGTGTTAAAATTTTCACATTAACAGTATAAAGGAAATTTCAATTTTCACAGATTTAAAATGAATATTTATTGGTGTAAATGTATATTTTTGTGTGTGATGTGTAATTTTCTAACATTCCTTACCAAGGTCACAATCTACTTCCCACTAAACACTGGGATAGTCCTATGTAGTACTGAAGAGGAGGTGATATATACACCTGTGATAATAGGGTCAATTCTGTTGCTCATGATAAAGAAATTCATTCAAAAGAGCACAACATAGTTAAAGGTATTTAGAAATCACAAACCAAGATGCACCAATCATTGGGGCCCTGAAATTGGGTCATTCATCACAATATAAAGCCATGGTACCTGAGGGCTAGTTGCTGTCTTCCACATGTACAGATATAAAAGATTTGTATGATGATATGGATAGTGTTTCATATAAGCATCATAGATAGTTATATGAAACTGTATACATATAACAAGAAGGTCCACAAACACATACCAATTTTTACACTTTCAGGTAATACAAGTTCTGAATTGACTGCTTTTACACAACCAGCCCAGTGAATTAAGGTCAAGTCAGTCTTTAGACAGAAAATTCCACCATGGTTCAAGAATGTGGAAGAGCTACATAGTTCAGGAGTGAGGAGTAGCTACTTTTATTTACCAGTACAACAAACCATGGAAAGTGAAGATCTCATTGGAATAAAATTGAGGCAAGAATCAAAATGTTACCAAGAAAAGCCACAGGCTGAAAGGATTCACTGCTGAATCTTAATGGAACTTTATGGAAGAATTATTGCCAATACTGTCCAACTCTTCCATGAAATTGAAAGAGAAGGAACATTGCCAAATTCATTCCTTGAAGGAAACGTTACCCTGATACGAAACCCAGCAAAGACTTAATACAAAAGCAGGCTTCAGGCCAGGCATGGTGGCACATGCCTAGATTCCCAGCTCTCAAGAGGCAGAGGCAGGAGTATTGACAAGAATTTGAGGTTAGCCTAGGCTACATAGTGAATTCAAGGCTAGCCTGAACTATATAGGAAGACTCTATCTCAATCAATCAATCAATCAATAAGAAAGAAAACTTCAGGTCAAATTCCTTAATGAACATAAATGCTAAAATTCTTAACAAAATATTGAAAACAGAATAAAACATCAATAACTGAAATACACCACATAAAAAAGCAAGTATATCATATTGATATGGATCATATCAATAGCTGCAGAAAAAGTATTTGACTAAATTCAACATTCATTCATTACATAAAAATAACTTGAGAAAAATAGGCATAGGAGACTCTTAACTTAAACTGACAAAGAGTATTTATAACAAACTCACTACCAACATAAAACTAAATGGGGAAAATCTGAAAGAATTTCTCCTAAAATCAGGAACAAGCCAAGCATGTTCAAACTCACCACTCCTTTTCAATACATTACTAAAAATTTTATCCAGAGCAATCAGGCAAGAGATAGAAATAAAACAGGTTCAAATAAGAAAGGAAGAATTCAAACTATCTTATTTGCACATTACATGATCCTTTACATAGAATACACCAAAACATCAACCAGAGGAGTCTTATGATCAAATTGAATAAAGTGGCAGGATACAAAATCAGTACACAAAAATGAATAGCATTCCTATACCTGAAGAATGAGCCCACTGAAAAATCCTATTCACAATAAATTTTAAAAATAAAATACCTAGGAATTAACCTAACCAAAGAAATGAAGTACCTTTATTAAAAATTATATTGCTCTAAAAAAACGAGATTGGAGAGGACATTAGAAAATGGAAGGACATCCCCAGTTATTGGAAATATGGAACCAATATCAAGAAAATAGCCACCTTACCAAAAATAATACACAGGCATAATGGAATACTCATGAAAATACCATCAGACTTTTCACAGAAGTAGAAAAAATGCACTCTGAAGTTTACATAGAATGAGAAGAGACCCAGAATAACCAAAGCAATCCTGAGCAAAAAAAAAAAGAAGGGCAAGAGGCATTACAATCCAAGATTTAAAGTTATACTACAAAACTACAATAGTAAAAACATCATGGTCTTTGGAAGGTGTTTAGATCATGGGGTTATACTCATCAGTGGATTGATCCATTGATGAGTTAATAACTAAAAGTACTGTTAGGAGTGAGACCTGGCTAGAAGAGGTATGTCAGTGGAGGTGTACATTTGGAAGATATATCTCTCTAAACCCTCCCTTTGTCTCTGCTTCTTGACAATATGGGGTGGATAGCTTTCATCCTCCATGCTCTTCCACGATGCCTTTTCTGTCTTGGAGCCAGGCAACCACGGAATAAAGCCCTCACAGTGTGAGCCAAATTAAACGTCTCCTACTTGAAGTTGTGGGTGTCTGATTTGTTTTTGTCCCAGTGGTAGGAAAGATGTCTAATATGACATCTCCTATAATCGATTTCGTGTAAAGGAAATGCAAGTTTAGAGAGAAGAAAGGATAGAGGGCCGGGGATTTAGCTCAGGGCTTCCAGAGCCTACCTCACAAGCATAAGGTTCCGAGTTTGATTCCGGATACCAAAAAAAACCAAGCAAACAAAAAACAGAAAAGAAAGCATAGATACATAAGTCTTGTGCTTTCTTCCAGATGAATTTGTACTGAATCTCCATATTATAATGCTCAATGTGAGAAAATCAACTGGAATATATTAATAAATATAAGGTTAAGTAAGATGGGAAAGGACACAAACCCTGGGAAATTCTGATGATTTCTGGGTGAATATGAGGTGTTCTAACTGTTACAAAGGACAGCTAGAAGCACATAAGTATAGGCTTTGGAAGCTCAAAGAATAGCAAGGGCAAGATACAGTGGTCACTTTAAGAAATGGATAAATAAAATAATGAGAACAGAGCTTAAGACCTGTCTTTGCAGGCATGAAGACCCCCAACACACAAGAGGCAGAAGGACAGCAAACCAGGTCAGCTGCAGGACGGGCCACGGGGTCTGCGAACTTGACAAAGAAGAAAGCTTCCCAGAAGAAGCAGAGGGGCAGACCTTCATCCCAGCCCCGCAGAAACATCGTGGGCTGCAGAATTTCTCATGGATGGAAGGAAGGTGATGAGCCCATCACCCAGTGGAAAGGAACCGTTCTGGATCAGGTGCCTATAAATCCCTCCCTTTATCTAGTGAAGTATGATGGAATTGACTGTGTCTATGGATTGGAACTTCACAGAGATGAAAGAGTTTTGTCTCTTAAAATTCTTTCCAACAAGGTGGCATCATCCCAAGTTAGTGACGCCAACCTTGCAAATACCATAATTGGCAAAGCAGTGGAACATATGTTTGAGGGTGAGCATGGTACCAAGGATGAATGGAGGGGGATGGTCCTAGCCCAAGCACCTATCATGAAAGCCTGGTTTTATATTACCTATGAGAAAGATCCTGTCTTGTACATGTACCAGCTTCTAGATGATTATAAAGAAGGTGACCTCCGCATCATGCCAGAGTCCAGTGAGTCTCCTCCAGCAGAGAGGGAGCCAGGAGGAGTAGTAGATGGCCTGATAGGCAAACATGTGGAATATACCAAAGAAGATGGCTCCAAAAGGATCGGCATGGTCATTCACCAAGTGGAAGCCAAACCTTCTGTGTATTTCATCAAGTTTGATGATGATTTCCATATCTATGTCTATGATTTGGTGAAAAAGTCCTAAACATTGGGATAAAACTTACCACATTTGTGGAAATAAACCCATAATTTGTAGACACGCAAAAAATGCTGGTTTCCAGTGTATTGAAAGTTTAAGGGTCCCTGATGACCAGCATAACTGTTGTTTTGTTCTGAAAAATACAAGTTTATGTGGATGTGACATACTGTGTATAGGCACTTTCTCTTGAAAAGATTGAGTATGTTTGGTGGATGGGGCATGAAAAGAAGAAACAGCTGTCAATTTAGCCTGTGAATAAAGTGCAGCAAAGCAACTTCTCATCACTCATCTGAAAAAGAAATGAGTCTTAGCTGGTCTGGTATAAGGGGGGAGGGGAAGGGACTAATGATGGGCTGTAGGGAAAGGGAGAGGAAGAGGTGACTGTGCAAGTAAAGAGGAAAAGGGCCAGAAAGAAGGAGGCTCCCTGGGGGAGGGATGAACTGTGAAGGGGAAACATCCAGTTGGGAAAGGAATGAAGGATAAGACAAAGTGGGATCTTGGAGCTTGGAAGAAAATAGAATGAACTGAGTAGAGAGAGCCACAAGGATGCTTAGAAGAGGTTCATAATAAAGGGAGATAGATCCAGTTGGTAGAGATCTGGGGAGAGGTTGTAAGACACACAAAGAGAGGGTCTGCTGTGGGTATCAGGCCAGGAAGGGAGGGATGCTGAGGAAGGAATAATTCTAAGAAAGACTGATTAAGGGAATGAGAACACAGTAAAAATGTTGTGGGGAGTGGGGTGCATGAGGGATGTATAGGCCCAGGAATTAGTTGGACTACTAGCAATATCCATATTGACCTCCCAGGCACTGTTCATAAAGGAAGTGACAACTGTCTAAGAAGGCAGATGTATGGAAAGTTCTCTAGAAGGGTATTTTTATGGGGATGATTCAGATGGGTTAAGCAGGAGCCAAGTTTATACCTATAAGGCTTTTCTTGTTTCAGGGAGTTTGTGCCACGCCTGCGGAGCAGAACCTCAATTCTCAGCCTAAGCTCACTAACATGGTGCTCCATAAACTGGGCTGTGGGAGAGTATGCTATGCAGAAAAGTGGAACCTTGCTGAACCCAAGTACAGCAGTCCCATCACTGGTCTTCCTTCTGCTGGGGCATCAGAGGATTGAGCCTCATGTCTGTCCAGGGCATGAGGAATACTTGATGGTCCATGCTTCTTTCAGCAGCTGCCTGAAACCTCATTTGGCTACAACCAATGCTCCACCAAAGGGAGGTCCCCTGACACTAGGAGCCTCCTTCTCTCTTGACCCCCCACAAAGCCAGTGGCTACTAACATCTCACTGGTACCTTCTGGACAGTGTTGACCACCCACAAACTCATGGGGAGCTGTAATGGAATTGTGTAAAACTCTTTCTTTCCAGGTGATGCAGTTGCCATGGAAAGTTGGGCTGGGAAATGTGACTTTGTATAAGTAATTAGTTTGACTGTGTAATGAATGCTACATGGAGGTGTTCTGGTTAATGGACAAAAGGAGTGGCAACCCCAATAAAGTCCCTCAGAACCGTGGTGTCCAGTGCATGGGTCTATGTTCTTTTCCTCCTCTTTGTCTTACCTTTACAGTATCCTCCTGAGGTCCCTGTCAAAATCTTTTCTCTTGATTCTGCACCCTGCCCTACACTAAACCACACTTCTGTCCCCAAGGAAAGAGTGCGAATGGATCCCTGTCGCTTAGGCTAACTCCATCCTTAGTGGGGACAGGGGTGTGGTCAAGGACCTTCCAGGAGTTTATAGAAGGTAGTAAATCCAGTTCATTCTCTCCACCTCACATTGACCCAAAGTTCATTAATTGCCTCAAGAATTCCATAAAGCAAGCCCACCTCAGTATAGCAGAGATTAATTATCTTCTTTCATACATCACACAGTTTTGCCCAACCAACACCAATAGGGCTCCTGGGACCAATTTCAGACTGCTGTCATGTCATGTTTGACCTGTGAATTTTTATTGTTTTCTATTTTAAATTAGATACTTTGAATATCTGGGAGAGTTCACATGATGTGAATTCATTTCTGGCTTCTCTTGAAAATCAGAACAAGCAAAAAACAATTGATCTGTGCCCATGTTCTAGCAAGGATATAAGAATCTGGATCTGAGGTTTGACTCAGCCCCTTTTAGGCTTAGAATGGGCTCTCCAGTTGCCCATTCCTCTGGCTGGTCTGCCTCACTCTAATGAAATGCATATTTGTCCCTAGAGGCATTTCCATTTGTGATTTTAGGCTAGATCCAGGGATATCTGTCTGGGTTGTTTTTACTTTGACCCCATTTGCTTTTTAAATTCATTTTTTCCTCTTCATTCCACAAATACTTTGCATAGTCCCTTCTCCAGGAACTCTTCTAGGCACAGGATCTAATGATACAATAATTAATAAATGAGTGAAATGAAAAAAAGATCCTACCCTCATGGAGCTTTCATTTTAGTAGGGGAGAGACAGGCATTTGCCAAGATAAATAAATACATAGTATTTCCATAGTGATGATTCTTAGAAGGATAGAATAAAGCAAGAAACAGGAAATGAAATTTGAGGGAGGAGGCTGAATATAGATAGTGTAGCCTAGCTATTGAAATCTGTTGAATGAATTTTGTTGTTTTTCCTTTGATATGGTAGGGATTCATTTTGCTATTCATAAGAGAACAATTACAAGGTTTTCTTATATTTTAACTGGATGGCTCTGTCAACTCTAGTGTATTTGCTATCACTCAATTTCAAAAATGGTAAGTTTAATTATCAGCTCATTCTATGAATGGTAGTTTAGTATAATGATGTATTGTACCTGTCTTTTTTTTGTTCAATTCTTTTATTGGTACATTTTAGGTATACAACACAATTACATTTCTCATTGGGAATTGTACCTTTTCACAATGCATCTTGGTTCTTATTTTTTCCCCATTCCTAGCCCTCCCTTCATGCCCTCCACCCTTCCCTATTTACAAAGACTTTGTTTCTATTTTTTCCATTTCTCATCATTTTTCCTTTCCCTTCTTTCCTTTCCCCTACACCTCCCACTACCCCTACCCCTTTGGACCTTTTCTTCCTATTTTCCATTATCGATGATTCATTCTAATCATTGGTACATTTTAGGTATACAATATAATGACATTCATCATTGGAAATTTGCACCTTTACATAATCTCTCTTGGTT